AATGAAAAGAAGAATGAAAAGAAGAAGAAGAAGAATGAAAAGAAGAAGAAGAAGAATGAAAAGAAGAATGAAAAGAAGAAGAAGAAGAATGAAAAAGAAGAAGAAGAAGAAATGAAAAGAAGAAAAAAGAAGAATGAGAAGAAGAATGAAAAGAAGAATGAAAAGAAGAATGAGAAGAATGAAAAGAAGAATGAAAAGAAGAAGAAGAATGAAAAGAAGAAGAAGAAGAATGAAAAAGAAGAATGAAAAGAAGAAGAGGAAGAATGAAAAGAAGAAGAAGAAGAATGAAAAGAAGAAGAATGAAAAGAAGAATGAAAAGAAGAAGAAGAAGAATGAAAAGAAGAAGAATGAAAAGAAGAAGAAGAAGAATAATGAAAAGAAGAATGAAAAGAAGAAGAAGAAAAGAATGAAAAGAAGAATGAAAAGAAGAAGAAGAAGAATGAAAAGAAGAAGAAGAAGAAGAAGAATGAAAAGAAGAAGAAAGAAAGAATGAAAAGAAGAAGAAGAAGAAGAATGAAAAGAAGAAGAAGAAGAATGAAAAGAGAATGAAAAGAAGAAGAAGAAGAATGAAAAGAAGAAGAAGAAGAATGAATGAAAAGAAGAATGAAAAGAAGAGAAGAAGAAGAATGAAAAGAAGAAGAATGAAAAGAAGAAGAAGAAGAATGAAAAGAAGAAGAAAGAAAAGAAGAATGAAAAGAAGAAGAATGAAAAGAAGAAGAAGAATGAAAAGAAGAATGAAAAGAAGAAGAAGAATGAAAAGAAGAAGAAGAAGAATGAAAAGAAGAAGAAGAAGAAGAATGAAAAGAAGAAGAAGAATGAAAAGAAGAAGAATTAAAGTACAGCAAAAAGTGTATCTGCAGAGAGCTCCGCTATTTCTGACAGTTCCTTCACATTTACAGCGGTTGAAACATTGTATCTATTTATTTCCGAATAAAAACATCTGTATCCTAAATGGAAACAAATAGATACAATGTTTCAACAACCGCTGTAAATGAACTGTCAGAACTGTCAGAAATAGTGGAGCTCTCTGCAGTGACACTTTTTTGCCGGCTGATCGGGAAAAAAATTTTGATTCGTGCACCCGAAGTTTGCTAAAATTCGGATTCGATGCGAATCGAATTTTTCCTGATATTCGAAACGAATACCACTTCGCCTGGTTCGATTCGCTCATCTCTAATTCTTACTACTGTTGCCTTTGGCCTTTGACATTCAGAGAGAGAGAGTTGTCCTTGTCCATAGACAATTATGCCAATTGTTACCCTCCACCACTTTCTGCCTTTTATCTAGTGCTTTAAAGTAGACCAAGCACTAATTTACCACCAGCAAAAGGAAAAGTGTAAAATCCTTTATGTCCTAATCATTTTTGTGTTAGCATTTTAAGGAACTATTATTTACACCTTGATCCAATTTCATGCCAACTGGGCCCCAAAGAGCCCTCTATAGTATTTTAAAAGGGAGATTGATTGGTTATAAATGGAAACTCTCTTCACTTCACATTTAATCCCTGCTGTTTTGGGGGTAGTGCTACAATTATTCACTCCTTACCTGCACTGTGTATTAGCGACCATTCACACATGGGCCTTTTTTTGCTTGTTTTCCAGGCCTAACTGTGCTCATTATGCAGAATCACATTCTTTCTAACTGTCCCTGTTTGTGCTTGTGTGCTCAGTCATCCTATGCTCTATTCCCTATGCTCAAAAAAGTTCTGCTCCTGTAGAACTGCTCTCCCCCCTCCTCTTGCTCAGCCCAGGAAATAAGCTCTTGAAGCTTAATACAAAGGACAAAAAATTGTAAAACTGGTGTTATACAAGGTAGGATAAGTTAATACTTCTACAGTGACATTTTAAGTTTTCTTCACACTTTTGTTACTTTTTAATAGGGCCTTGCTAGATTATCATCCTTAAAAAAGCACCCTGGTGGTCTTTGATTTCCTTATTGCCTTCTGTAATTTACAGAGTGTGCAGCTATCAGTAATATTAGTAATATGTAGAGTGGAAGTGGTGTGCCACATGCTGGAACTCTCTCCACATTCCAGCACCCAGGACTTAAAGTGGTTGCAAAAATGCTTGAGTTTTAACCTTTATGCATTCTATGCATGAAGGTAAAATACCTTCTGTGTGCAGCAGCCCCCATATACTTACCTAAGCCCCATCGCAATCCAGCGATGTGCATGAGAGCCTCAACTCTCCAGATTCTCTCCAGCCTCATTTGCCATTCGCCCCTGCTGCTGTCAATCACAGCCAGTGAGCCAATAGGAGAGATAGGGGGCGGGGATGTCTTTGTGTGTGAATGGAAACGCAGAGCACCGGCTTGGGAGCGAGCCTGCTTGGTTGCCCCCAAAGCAAAACTGCTTGATCTGGGGACACTCAGTAGGAGGAAGGGGCCAAGAGTGCCGACGGGGAACCTGAGAAGAGGAGCTGCTCTTTGCAAAACCACTGCACAGAGCAGGTAAGTATAACATGTTTGTTATTTTTTCTAATGCCTTTAATATCACTTTAAAGCAGCAGGAACTGTCAGATGGAATGATTTCCAACAGTCTCAGCTCAACTGGGAGCTCATCACAACACTGTGTATTTAGGTAAATGCCGTAAATACTGAACAGCAGTTCTGTGAGGTTATTACTGTTATTGTTGGGGCTACTGTACTTTAATAATTGCCATTTGAAAAAAAGTCAGAACCTGCAAACACCTACACAGGTCTGGAGTCTTATATTATGTATACAATAAATCTCAGAAACCTGCAAAAGAGACCGACTAATTAACCCGCAAAACTAATCAAAGTTAAACTGTGTCTCTTAAAAAAGATAATTTATTGCAAAATATATATATTAAATTACCATAGTAAATACACGTAGTAAAAAAGGACCTCTATATGTACTGAATTGAAACTTACTATAATGCAGAGCTTAGCAGATAGTAAGGATTGGATGCTGTTCACAGACAGCTATACAACGGAAAACATCCCAGCTCAAGCAATCAGTGGAATGTGAGACATATTTAAGTTCAAGCAGGATTGAAACCCATTTAGTAGAAAGGTACCATATCTCTAGAATCATAAATCCTTAATAGCTGTATCTGCATGGTAAACAGAGCACACTAAAGCAGTTACCACTTTGAACTAGTGAAACATATAATAAGTCGTAGGATTACATACAGGATCAATATTTTACTCGCTTGTGTATGTATAAATTGCACCAAAATCCTTGTATAAATACAGTATGGTGATAATCCAATGAATCACCTTATCTAATAATCCAGTGATCAGGTGGGGCAAGGTCTATCATCCAACAGTGTACCATCCATGGTTATCTAGAGACCATGAATCCCCTTCGATAAAAGGAATGCCAAAACAAGTGTCTACAGTTCATATGAGTATAACATTGTATAATGCAGCTACCTACGGGGGCACTCACAGTGGTGAATAACATAAAATAATCAATAGTGTAATCCACTCTCCCCTGAAAATTTGAAAGGATCTCAGCTGCTTTCCACTTAGCTCCTCTTGAAGTATTGTTTCATAAATTGATTGCATACAGTAATGTCTCCACCCAATGGCCAACCTTCCCCTTTCCTTGTGAACAACCCAGGAGTGGTGAAACACATCAAAATAGGTTGGTTGGTTATTGGATGGAGACATTGTTGTATGCAATCAGTTCACTGATTTTTTAAAATTTGTGCAAGAGGAGCTAAGTGGAGTGTGCTGCTGAAATTCTTCCATATTTTCAATGAACAGTGGAGATAGACTATGATGAGCAGCACACGGGTTATCCATGTATAAGAAAGGCCAGCCTTGAGCTATGGGTCTGTATTTTCAGTGGTAATTTTGATGTCAACTTTCAATTTAGTCTTAGTTATAGTCTTTTGACTAAAATGCCATTTTAGTTTTAGTCATATTGTAGTCATCTGAATTGTCTTAGTTTTAGTTGTATTTTAGTCAACTAAAATCTCCTGTACATTTTAGTTGACTAAAATCTAATGAGTTTAGTTAAATTGTAATGCATTATTTAAGTATTTCTCTAGAATTTCCAAACTCATTATAAAAATCTAATAACATGATATTATTTATATACACCCCCCACTGAAAGTGACGTATTGCTCGCAAGCAGCAAGGAGGATCGGGTGAGACGCTTCTTCTATGTGACATACCAATACCCTTAGCGGTTAGTGGGGATATTTTGGTATGCTTTTATTCACTCCATGTGAGTGTAATACTCTTCATTCAATAAATGGTTTTTAATGGATTCCCGCTATAAGTTTCCTTTCATGTCTTTGAGTTTAATAGTTTGGAGGATGCCCCGCCACTTAATCAGTCTCTAAAGGGCTTGTTGACTGATGATCTTTACTATGCTGACACTCACCACAAGCGCATTTGCCTATCTGGTTTGGATGGGCCACGATATCTGGTGAGTGCCACTGAATTGGAGGAGGCTTTTTCCTTTGGAGCAAGTGGTGGTTATTGAATATACTTCATTCATTCAATTATTGTTATGTTGTTCTCGTGGTGTTTTTGAAGGATCAAAAGGACTTTGTATTTTATCACAACTTTCATTTTATATTTTTTTTTGGTGGGCTTATTTCTAATGATTCATTATTTGTGTATATTATTCACTGAAGTTTTATCTATTTGGCCCTTTTTTGTGCTGCTTTTATTTTATTTTATAATTATATTATTTATGGTATTAAGGTATGAACATGCACTACAGACATAGATTAAGGCTGCAAGTGGGGATGGGGGAAGTAAATGGGAATGAGGGAGTGCACAGGGCAGAGAACTGGATTGCCTGGGGAGGCTGGTTTTTCTTACACAGTAATAAGCATTGCTACCTTCCTGGTAGAGGAAATACCATGTCACATCCAGACAGACACAAATTTGACAGACGAGTTTCTCTTCTGTGGTTTGCAGGGCAATGTTCTAGAACTCCCAGGCACATGCGGACAGAGGGAGCCTGCTTCTCTCAGCCAAGACAGCTTGAATATAAAGTCAGGGGGCTGGAGCGTTAAGCACTTCAAGTCCGATCACTTTCACCCTCTTCCAGTCCAGGCCAATTTTCAGCTTTCAGTGCTATCACACTTTGAATGACAATTGCGCAGTCATGCAACACTGTACCCATATGAATTTTTAGCATTTTTTTTGAGACAGATAAAACTTTATTTTGGTGGTATATATTCACCACTGGGATTTTTATTTTTTTTCTATATAAATGAAAGTCCATACATTTTGAAAAAAAGGTGTTTTTCTTGTAAAATTTTGCTAATAAATAATCTTTCTTCATAAATCTTGGCCAAAATGTATTCATCTATCTTTTTGGTAAAAAAAAAAAAAATACCCAAATTAATTTATAAACAAAAATATACATTTTTTCAAAATTTTTTTTTTTACTTTTTTTTTTTTATATTATTATTTATGTTTTTTTTTTTTACATACTGTCACCCTAGCAGAACAGTGTCACCATAGTGACACTGTACTACTTGTGGGGGGTGATGAAGATTTTTTTTTTCTTTTTTTACACTGATTGCTTTTACACTTATAAAAGTAATAATTTCACCTCCTCTCTGGCTGCGTTCCTGCAGCCGTTGAGAAATACTCTGTGAGCTGCGATTGGTCACAGCTTGTCACATGGTACAAGGCTGTTGTCAATAGCCTTGTACCATGTGACCTCACAAGTAGTAAGCAATGATGTCAGGAAGTGACATCTTGTTTACTACTATTCATGTGATCACTGATTGGTCAATCAGTGATCACATGAATCAGGACCTCACACAGAGGTCCCATACAGCGTTCTGTGTTCCGCTGTGTCCTCTGGACACAGTGAGCACCGATAGCGGTGCACTGCACTCCCAGGGAGCGCGCACAGGCAATGGATGCGGGGGTGGGATTTAGAAATGTCCACCCGCATCGGCTCTCGTCTGGCCGCTTATCGACATGGGTCGGGCTGGAAGAGGTTAACAGACAAGTGGAACTCTGTGGAAGTTTGCAGAAGTTCAGGCGAGTAAATGTCCCCCCCTAACATTTTTTAGAAGTGATTTTCGTCATAGTTTTTGTCACTGAAAACATGCAGCTGATGAAAATTATAATGAAAATATTTTGCCAATGAAATTAACACTGTGTATCAATATAGTAAGGTCGCCTGCCAAGACTGAGATTTAACAGATGAAATCGTCCAGAATTCGAATATGTAGTATGCTCCACAACAAAAGTGTTGTAATACTGTACATAGAACCAATAGCTGAACAAATAAGGCTGTCCACTTATTCCAGAGTCCAGGGAAAGCAAATTTCTCAAATGGGGACACAGGCAGCAATGAAAGCCTGACAGTGATTCTACCCCTTCATCACTGTATTGAAATATACATTTTAATATTTAGTTACATTTTATTTCCTCAAAGACAACAGAATGTAATCCTTTCCAGAGATGTTATGCAGTAACCAAGAGAAAAATATTGCACATATTCAGGAACACTCTCAAAGCTTTTGGATCAACATTACATTTACATATTCTCTCTCGTACACACACGCACACATAAGAGGCATGTCTGTGCTCATCTATGATATTTCAAGTGATCCCTGCTTTATATGAATATGTTTCTATTAAAAACGCAATAGTGCAACAATCTTCTTGTGACATACAGTATATGTATGTGAGTCTCAGGGTTGTGGATTGCGTATACAGTGTGTCCCCTAAGTTTCTCACCTGCACATGGGAAAGGGCTCCATGGGTTGTGACTGATGAGTAGAAAACAAAATTTTTGCTTTCTCTTAATCTTCATAAATCCTGTTTTGCCTGTAGGCTCTGTAGACCTTCAGATGATAAAAGCCTAATTCCTTGGTCCACATTTTACTTGGTAACCAGACCTCATTAATTAGTCTCTGCTGTGCACAGACTTTTTTATATGTGAGCTGACTAATGTGCAGGCTCTCTCTTGCCCTATTTGCTGTGGGAGTCTGCTGCTGTGTGAAAAGGCTAAAACACATCGTACATGGGTCGAATTCCAAAAGATTATTTTGTCCCGAAAATTTAAAACGTTGTTCGCTCAGTAATCCGATGGTGCCATAAATGATTCTGAAAATCATACAACCGGCAAAACTTCTGTTCCTTCCAGGTCATTGCTCATGCGCATATTCTTGTTGGAAAATCGATCGGACAATTTGACCATCATTGAGTCGAAAATCAGTCGTTTTTCCCGAATTTTCCAACATGCCCGATCACCGGAAAGGGGAGGGACTACGAAAATCGTCCGGCGCCATTGACCCACTAACAGAGCGAAAATCAACCAATTATTCTTAGGTCTGATTTTCGGATGAAAAATCAGTTGAATTTCGACCCATGTATGGCCGGCATAACTGCTGACAGAATACTAAAAATATACATGTGCTGCTTGTTTGTTTTGGGGAACTTTTTTGGGGACACCCTGTTAATCAAGAACTGACCTAAGTTTAGTTAGTAGTTTGAAGGAGCAGATCTTTTGTTTGTTTAATGGTATAGCCTTTCTGTACATAGCTCTCCAGTAACAAAACTCTTTGCTCCCTTGCTGAATAAAAGTGAGAAACAAACCTGCTTGGACTGTTTCTGCGTGTCCTCGTTTCATGCATGATTTACTCATTTCAATTCTAGTCAAGCCTGTCTTTATCACAATATATTGGTGTTTTTTTTTTTCTCATTCTTTCGAATTATATGAGTTTATAAAATTTAATTATGTTTTATTTAGGAGCTGTACCAGCACAGTTGCCATATTATCAAGTAACTCAGCAATCCTCTACAATTTTTCTTTTCTCAGTGAAATGCTTTGGATTTCTAAGGCCTGTAAGACTCTGTACGATTCTGTGCTCATTACTATGAGTAGCAATGGTTTATGGGTGCTGAAATTACTTAAAAAGAACTCTGTCAATACTACAGGCTATAGTAGACATATGACATTTAAAAAAAACTGGCACATACTGATTCAAATAAATGCATGCAGGCAACCCAGAAAAATATCCATACATGTCAATACATTCATCTAATGGTTCAATGAATGCAACTGACCTAAGTTCAAATTCTTTGCACAAAAGGGATTTACTTTTTTTCCCACAAGTAGTGGATATGAGATAATCCATATCCAAACAATAAAATAAATCATGCAATCCAGCTGTGGATCAATCAAACCAAAAATTCAGTATGCAATGCACATGGTTGTGATATTTGCTAACCGAATTCTGCTAAGTATGTTTACTGTAATGTAATTCTAAATACATGTGCCCATCAATTACACCATTCATCTTATCCATTTTCACTATAGCTGCTTGTCAAATTGCAAACTTTGATATTAAGAAAATAACTACTGTATGGTTTATCTACTGAATCAGTATATATACAGTATATATATATACAGTCAGGTCCATAAATATTGGGACATGGACACAATTCTAACATGTTTGGCTCTATACACCACCACAATGGATTTGAAATGAAACAAACAGGATGTGCTTTAACTGCAGACTGTCAGCTTTAATTGAGGGTATTTACATCCAAATCAGGTGAACGGTGTAGGAATTACATATGTGCCTCCCACTTGTTAAGGGACCAAAAGTAATGGGACAATTGGCTTCTCAGCTGTTCCATAGCCAGGGGTGTGTTATTCCCTCATTATCCCAATTACAATGAGCAGATAAAAGGTCCAGAGTTAATTTCAAGTGTGCTATTTGCATTTGGAATCTGTTGCTGTCAACTCTCAAGCTGAGATCCAAAGAGCTGTCACTATCAGTGAAGCAAGCCATCATTAGGCTGAAAAAACAAAACAAAACCCATCAGAGAGATAGCAAAAACATTAGTCGTGGCCAAAACAACCATTTGGAACATTCTTAACCTCTTGCCGTCCGCCTGCTGTTTATAAACGGCAGGGCGGTGGCAGTCCAAGGTCGGGTTGCCGTTCCTAAACGGCACCCGCCTTTTCTAGCTGTGCGCGCTCCCTAGGAGCGCGCACCAGCGCGATCCGGTGTCCGCTGTGTCCTCCGGACACAGTGAAAACACCGATCGTCGGACGGGACCTCTGTACGAGGTCCCGGTCATGTGATCACTGATTGGCGAATCAGTGATCACATGCAAAGTAGTGAGCAAGATGTCACTTGTGACATCATTGCTTACTACGTGTGAAATCTGTGAATGATCACAGAGGTCACATGGTACAAGGCTATTCACAACAGCCTTGTACCATGTGACAAGCTGTGACCAATCACAGCTCACTCAGTATTTCTCAATGACTGCAAGAATGCAGACAGAGAGAAAGAGAAATGATTGCTTTTACATCCTATATGGGTGTAAAAGCAATCAGTGTAAAAAAAAAAAAAAAAAATCTTCATCACCCCCCACAAGTAGTACAGTGTCACCATGGTGACACTGTACTGCTAGGGTGACAGTATGTAAAAATAAAAAATAAAAATAAAAAATAATATAAAAAAAAATAAAATAAAAATGTAAAAAAAAATGTTTAAAAATTATAATGTTTTATTATAAACTAATTTGGATTTTTTTTTTTACTAAAATAATAACGGAATAAATTTTGGCCAAGATTTAGGATGAAATATTATTTATTTGCAAAATTTTATAAAAAAAAAACCACTTTTTTTCAAAATTTTTGGACTTTTTCATTTACATAGTAAAAAAATAAAAATCCCAGCGGTGAATAAATACCACCAAAATAAAGCTTTATCTGTCTCAAAAAAATGGTAAAAAATTCATATGGGTACAGTATTGCATGACCGCGCAATTGTCATTCAAAGTGTGATAGCGCTGAAAGCTGAAAATTGCCCTGGACAGGAAGGGGATAAAAGTGTCCGGACAGGAAGTGGTTAAAAAGAAGGAACGCACCGGTGAGCTCAGCAACACCAAAAGACCCGGAAGACCACGGAAAACAACGGTGGTGGATGACCGAAGAATTCTTTCCCTGGTGAAAAAAACACCCTTCACAACAGTTGGCCAGATCAAGAACACTCTCCAGGAGGTAGGTGTATGTGTGTCAGAGTCAACAATCAAGAGAAGACTTCACCAGAGTGAGTACAGAGGGTTCACCACAAGATGTAAACCATTGGTGAGCCTCAAAAACAGGAAGGCCAGATTAGAGTTTGCCAAACGACATCTAAAAAAGCCTTCACAGTTCTGGAACAACATCCTATGAACAGATGAGACCAAGATCAACTTGTACCAGAGTGATGGGAAGAGAAGAGTATGGAGAAGGAAAGGAACTGCTCATGATCCTAAGCATACCACCTCATCAGTGAAGCATGGTGGTGGTAGTGCCATGGCGTGGGCATGTATGGCTGCCAATGGAACTGGTTCTCTTGTATTTATTGATGATGTGACTGCTGACAAAAGCAGCAGGATGAATTCTGAAGTGTTTCGGGCAATATTATCTGCTCATATTCAGCCAAATGATTCACAACTCATTGGACGCCGCTTCACA